GCCCGGCTGATTTTTTGATTTATTGTAGAGATGAGGTCTCACTGCCCAGGCGGGTCTTGAACCTGCGGGCTCAGGCAATCCACTCACCTCAGCCTCCCAAAGGCGCAGGATTACAGGCTGAGCCACCGAGCCCGGCTTATTTTTGTTTTTTAAAAGGTGTTACTACTTTGGTCAAAAACACAGTATTTGTGATAAATCATGATGCCTGTAAGTTTACTGTCATACTATCATTAAGTGACTAAATAAGGAAGAAATGAATAGGAAAATATAAAGGAAAAATAATATTTTCTTCCTTTAACTTTTTTCTTTATTTTTTCACTTTTTCTTATTTCTCTTCATTGCCCATAAAATGGAGCTTGAAAGAAAGCAATCTACTCAAGTCTAGAAGTGACTGCTAGAGGGCTCTGGGATACACTGATCCAACACACAATTTACCACTGCTCACCAGAGCTGGCAGGCGACAGTTCATTCCTGGACGCTTTCCAAGAGCGTGCGTAGAGATAAACACTCAAGGCCACAGAAAAAACAGTGGCTGCCAGTGCAAACTTAAGAAAATGTTTGTACACATAATTCAGCTCTATGCCCCAAAAGAGAAATGCTCCGATGACTGCAGATGTCAGGATAAAAGCATAGAATCCTTTAAAAGAAAAAAAAAGGAGGGAATTAATGCTAACTCAGGGCTCACATGAGACTTATACAGTATAATGTCATTTTTTAAAGCCTTAATTTCATTATTCAGACTAAATACACACAAATATGCAAATAAGCAATATCCCTGAGGTATAATCTTCAATATAGATACCATATCTCTTGTATGATTTTTCAAATATTTTAACATACTTAAGTTATTATTTTTCAGTTTAATTAAGGGAAAGCTGAAAGGAAGTACACAGAAAAATTCACTAACTGTTAAAAAGATGAAAAGAACCTCAAATTCACATAATCCAACTCTCAGGCACAAATGGCTAACTATTAACAGAGATAGGCCAAACACACATTTTAAAGTCTAATGTCCTTACCTAATGGTAGGGAAATCTTGACAGCTATAAAATTATACATAATTATACTTGAACTACCTTGTCAAAGTGCCAAAAGATCTAGTCACATTCTACTACCCAGAACATGGATCTCAAGACCCCACCCTCACAGCAGAGGCCACACAACACAAATGCCCCAGGCCAGGCAGGATCTGAGAAGATTCCGTGGGATGGGGACATTCCCATGCAATGCCAAGCTAAAAAGCACCGGGTGAGGCGCCACAAGGGGAACTCTTGCTCCGGGTTAGTTCTGTTGCCACAGACAGCGGCTCAGTGGGTGCTGCTTTTTCTTTTGGCCAAAGAAATAGTTTGGCTTTCAGAGTTGAGTGCCTGAAAGAACTGGGCTGCCAGTGACTGTCAGATCACATCTGGATAAATGGTCAAACACAGAAACGAGAGAGCTGTTATTTATATAGGGAGTCTAAAACCAAAGCTTTTGTAAAGTAAAAGGGTCATCTCAAATTTATTATTTAAATCTACATTTTCCATATATCAGGTTTACTCCCACAAATAACTTTTATCTTTTAAAATTTTGCCTTTTAAAATATTCATTTGGTTGGGTACAATGGCTCAAGCCTGTAATCCCAGTACTTTGGGACACCGAGACGAAAGGATGCCTAAGCCCAGGGGTTCAAGACCAACCTGGGCAACATGGCGAAGCCTCATCTCTAAAATACATTTAAAAAATTAGTCAGGTGTGGTAGTGTGTGCCTGTAGTCCCAACTACTTGGAAGGCTGAGGTGGAAGGACCGCCTGAGCCCAGTAGGTCAAGGCTGCGGTGGCCGTGAGCATGCCACTGCACTCCAGCCTAGGCGACAGAGTGAGACTCTAACTCCAAAAAAAAAAAAAATCATTTAACTTTCATAAAATTTATGATTTTTTTTAAAGAATAGTAGACAAAATATTCTTTTGCTCTCTAGCCTATGGGGATTAAAAATAATCATTCAAAACTTCCTAGGAATCTCATTAGTTTATAATGGTAAAATATCACAAAAAGGAATCTTGTAATACTTGAACCAGAGTAACTAGATAAGGACATTTTAAAAAAGAAAGATCAAGCAACTTGGTCAGCCACTACCCTGCTGGTTCCAACAGCTCTGTATCCAAGTACTGCATTCAGTCTCCGAATGTAACATACCCCTCAAAGGGAAGAGAAAATACAAAACAAGACTACTCAGAAAAGAACTGGTGTTCTAGAGAGAAACACACAAGACACTAGTATTAAAGACCTGATGGCAAAAAGGAAACAACCCATCACTCCCCAGATTCTGCTTCAATGTGCAACGCTGGAGAGAGGGTGGTGTCAAAGACCCTCCATCATCCAAGTTTGCTCCATTAACAAAAGCAACAAAAAGTCTGACAGTTGCAGCAAAGAAGCATTAAGCACCCGTCAGGGGTCAGGCACTGAGCTAGGTAAGATGCTTCATATGGTTGGTATTAAAAGGCAGGCAGCGTCTAAAATATCTTTGTCGTCCCTTTTAGAACCCAGCAGTGACTGACTGCAGGTAGACTAGATGCTGGATAAGTCTATAAACAAAATGTATCCAAAGTTAGAAAATAATTGGTAGGATAAAAAGATGAAGCATTAAAAATATATAGTGTAATTCCCAAGGAAAGGAAAACATGATAATCTCATAAATGGAAAATCATTCAAGGATAGCTAAAAAATAGATGCGTACTTTGCCAAAGTCCTCAAATGGCAAAGCCAGACTAATGCCCTCAGCACATACTTCCACCATCTGAGGTGCTAGACCAAGAGAGGGCAATGTCTGCCCATTTCTTAAGCTATTCAATGAGCCCACAACCTTATCCATCCAGCGCTCACATACGAGTGAGTGCCTACTAACTCACTAAGCGCTCACATACGAGTGAGTGCCTACTAACTCACTAAGTCATTACAGGTCCAGTCATTTTCCCAGTACCAATGGCACCATAACGAACACAGCTAAGTCCCAGCCCACAAGGCTGCATCCTAGTGGGGAAACTCCAGTGAAGAGACAAGCACACTGATGCTGGGGAGGCATAACTGTCAGAGAGAAAAAAAACAGGGTAAGGAGGAAAAGGGACCTGAAGGCTTCTTTCAGCAGAGACAAGAGAGTTGAAGACACAGCCGAGACATTTTAGGGAAAAGTTTTCCGACAAAGACCCCGAGAAAAGAGTATAACACATGTTCAAGAGACAACCCAGACAGCAAGGGCGGGAGGGGCTTCTCAGGCCACAGTGGTACCTCAGGGTGTTAAAATCCTGGACAAGTGCAATGACTTCTAATAGTGATAAATGCTATTAATAAAACTGGATAACGAAATGAGCAACTGAGAGGCTATGGTAGTTTATGTGCCATAATTTTACATGTTGGTCACAGGCATAAACAATTTATTTGCATGCCTTTCTGACTACTAAGAGATAATTTACTATTTACTACACTGGTGTAATCAGCTTTGATAGTTTAAAGAGTACAACTTAAAAGTTTAAGCTATCAAAACATCAGTTTCAGTTTAAAAAAAAAAATCACCATTTAATCTATATTTGAGTCTTCTTCCATCAGCAAGAGGCGTGCCTTCTACAACCTTAAAAGAAAAAAATTTAAAAGTTTAAAAAGCACATCACCACCATATATATGTATATATATATATCTTCTAACATCACTTAACTTTTAACATGCCCAAGAAGGAGGGTATATATATCGCAGTAGGGAAGTTTGGGAACATACTTCAAAAACCTTAATGGCAAGCCCTTTGAGGAAGCAATTCCACCTTCAGGAATTTCTCTTAAATACAAATCTGGTAATAACTTCAGTGTAGCACTGAAATGACTGCAATAGTCACCCTCTCCCAACACTCCCATGGACCACCTCAAGACTAAATGTGCTTACAGTACCTTTATATCTAGCAGACTCCTAGCTCACACATCTGCAATGGCTTCTAATTGTTTACAAAACACAGTACAACTTCACTGTCTTCCACTTGTGAGGTCCTTTTCAATCTGGCTCTACCCTACTTACCCAATCTACTATGGCCCATATGCGATTTGATGACACATACTCATATACTTACTCTGTTTACACATATCTGTTCATCCAGTTATTTAACTGTTTCACAGGATTCTTTTGTTTTCAATAAGAGACTGTGAGATGCTTCATGGGTCAGAAGCATCCCATCTCTCTGCCTCTGCATCACCGACAGCACACAGCACTGTGATATCCACAAGAAAGGTACTCAAGAGGAGACTGAACTGGCTCAGTAAAAAGCCCACTTGCCTAAGGCCAGCCACATTTTACTCCCCAAAATAACTACTCACAAATGTAGTGATTTGTTTTAAACTGTAAGATATGAATACTATATCAGGCCGGGCGCAGTGGCTCACGGCTATAATCCCAGCACTTTGGGAGGCCGAGGTGAGAGGACTGCCTGAGCTCGTGGGTTGAGCCCAACCTGGGCAACTTGGAGAAACCTCATCTCTACAATAAAAATAAAAATAAAAATAAAAATAAATTAGCCGGGCATGGTGGCACATGCCTGTAGTTCCAGTTACTTGGAAGGCTAAGGCAGAAGGATCACCTGAGCCTAGTAAGTTGAGGCTGTGGTGGCTATGAGCAGCATGCCACTGCACTCCAACCTAGGCCCTGGGCTACAAAGTGAGACTCTGATTCAAAAAAAAAAAAAAGAATACTGTATCATTTATCTTGGGCTACACTACTTTATCCTTTCATCAACTATGTATTTCATTAGCTGGCATATCTCTTGCCTAGGAGGAGAAATACAAAACCTGTTTGAGATCACAGGATTTAAAAAATCCCACATGCTTATTTCAGATGATTTTTATCTATTCAAGGTGTCTAGTAAAAATTGTGTTGGGTTTTAGTCTACAATTATACAAGGGGGGGCCCAAAAAAAACCAGAATTATCTATTTCAGGGTGGGTCCCTTATAATACAGGCTTCCCTCACTAGTAAGATGTTCTAGAAGCTCACTGGCATCAGTGTACCGGCTAGCGTTGTTGTGAAAGGCTGTGTTTGGCTTCAGCGCATTTTTTTTTGGAGTTTCTTTCAGTGTGTTTGCTCACTTCATGATGGGCGATTTATGAGCACACTTGCCCACGCCATGCTGAGTGTTCAGTAGTTTTTGATAAAAAAATGGCAAGACCCCTGTGCCCTACCCTCCCTACTCACCCAATCTCACCTGAAGCAATTTTTTTTTGCTCCCCTGGATGAAAAAAAGTCCTCAAAGGGAAACATTTTGTTGATGTGGAGGAGGTGAAACAAAACAGCAGAAGCACTAAAGGCATCAAAATTGAGCTCAAAACTGTTTTAAGTATGGAAAAAGCATCAAATGGAGGGTACTTTGAAGGTGACAAATTTAAACATGTAAGAACAAATATACAATTTTGAATAAATAAATTAATTCCAGGTTTTTTTGGGTCCCCCCTCATATAGTTACAAAATACAGCTGGTCCTCCACATCCATGGGTTCCATCCACATCAATGGATTCAACCAACCACAGATCAAAATTATTTGGGAAAAAAAACCAAAACTGTAGCTGTGAACAAGTTACTTTTTTCTTGTCATTATTCACCATACAGCATAACAATGAACACAGCATTTACATTGTATTAGGTATTATAAGTAATCTAGAGATTTAAAGTATACAAGGACAATGTGTGTAGGTTGTATACAAATATTACACCATCTTCTATAAGGCACCAGAACATCCTCAGATTTTGGTATTTGCAGAAAGTCCTGGAACCAATCCTGAAAGGATACCAAGGGACAGCTGTACAGTATATGAGGAGGGACCCCCAAAAAAATCAGTATTTATAAAAAAACTACTTGTTATTACATGTTTAAACTTCAGTCACCTTCAAAGTGCTCTGTGATGCAATACGCCTATCGAGATACGCTTCCCACTGCTCAAAACAGTTTTGAACTCGTCAATTTGAATGTCTTTCAGTGCTTCTGCTGTTGTTTCACCTCACCCACACTGGCAAAACATTTAGCTTTAAGGACTTTCTTCATTGGGGTAAGATCAGATAAATTGGGCAGGTAGGGCACAGGGGTCATGCTGTTTTTTGTCAAAAACTGCTGAACACTCAGCTCAGTATGTCCAGGTGTATTGTCATGGTGAAGAACTAGTCACCTGTTTGCCACAACTTGGGACATTTCTTCCACAAATTGTGACACAACCCTCTCAAAATGATCAGATAAAAACTTCGCTGGACGTTTGACCCAGAGAACAAATTCCAAGTGTACTATGGGGGCCCACTCTAGATTTAGTCTGTGACTATATAAATATGATCTATGACTATATACATATGATCTGTAACTAACAAAACTGCCTTCCTTAATAGTTTGAAATAGGCTTACCTTAAAATTAACCTGAATTTAACTGTACAATCTTATCCAAAAAATGACCGGCGGTCTGTATCACAAAAATCCTTGCTAGAGCCACTAAAGTTACGGTGACACACCACAGTATTAAGTCTGCAGCTCTATCCTCCTCTTACTGGCATTCACCACTCCTAGTAAAACTGATCCTTTGGCTTACAGACAGTTGGCAAACTTGCAAAGCCCAAAGAATAAGATCTTTAAATAAATTATGTATTGCTTAGGGAATATCATGTTCCTTTAAATATAAGCAAGTAAAGTATTCTACTGAAAGAAGAAAAAAATTACAATTAAAAAAATTACAACAGACAAATCTTGAAGATATTGAATGAATCTGAAAAGAACATAAAATGTTCTTGACAACAAACTTCTTTCTCAAAGAGATTAAAATGAGACTCATTTTTTTTAAGTAAAAGATACAGACAGACTAGAGTCCACTGAGCTCAACAGCCTATCAATTAATTATTTAAAACACTGCATCTGAAATGACACATACTGAGCAGGACCTTTTTACCCCCAGCAACTCCTCTGAGAGTCAGCTATTTTGCAAAAGCGCTTATAGCTTTCTGACTGCTTTGAAAAGTACACAAGAAATCTCAATCAGATGTTTAAAGTTCTTTTTAACAAGCAAGTGTTAAAGAGTATAGGAGTAATGGCTTAAGGTCTTGGGAGTTATGACCAACAATATGTTGTGGCACACACCTGTGATCCTAGGGACTTGGGAGGCTGAGGTAGAAGGATCACATGAGCCCAGAAGCTGGAGACAGGCCTGGGTAACATAGCAAGACTCCATCTTATTAAAACAAGACAACTGTAAACTTACCTTCCCAATTGGCAGTAGGTAGAACAGAGCTTGAATGAAAAACCAGAGAAGGTAGACCCCAAATACTCTGGTTTCCCATAGATCAGACAAAGCTGGCAAAGCAGGAGGAAAATTCAAAAGACTGGGATCTTTCTGTTTACACAGCAACAGGAAGAGGAAGACAGGCAGGCCAAACATGATGAGAAACACACCTGCAAACAATTCATGAATATTCAAGACTCAAATTTCAATGCAGTTTATTTAAGAATCATTTTAGTTGTTTTTTTTTAAGTCAGAACTCAGATCTGACCAGCTGTCTGAAGCCCATTTCTAAAGTACCATCAAAAACTCCTGTCTCTAGTCATCTCTGGTGGGCAAGCAACCATGGGCATCAAAGCAGAAGTAGCAGAAGTCCAGCACTGAATAGCTAAATCCCACCTCAGAAACCAACTCTAAAACACTTAACCTCCAACCATGGAGGACTAAAATGTTGAAACGCCAACAAACTAAAGATCAGAACATCAAAAAATTATCAGTCTAATCTTAACAAAAAATATAAATATTTTTAAGTTTCTAACAATTAAAACAGTGTCATATTCATGTAACATGTGCACAGATTTTAAGTGATGCTGGACACCATCTGTAACAGATCAGCTAGTCGCGGAATATAATTTACAAAATACAAAGCACCTAAAGATACAGGATTTTAGGCCATTTAACCAAGAAGTTATTTCTTTTACTAGCTCATAAAATTTCATCACTCCCACCCACTTAATAACTCCAAGGCTTTTTCACACTTCAGATCTCTGACACTCACACACAATCAACCTGTCCAACGGGTAGGGCAGACATCATGACCCCGTGCTGCTCAGGCAGCTTCTTCCCACTGCTACAGCCTAAGCCAAGCTCTGCCATCCCAGATCTGATTATTAGCTGATCTGTCCCTAATAGGTCACCATCCTTGCTATATACAACTCCCAGATCAACCTTCCTTTATCATTGTTTTGTACTTCTCTACAGAAAACCTCTGAACAGATTGCTGAAAGTTTTGTTTTTTTTTGTATTTTTTGAGTCGGAATCTCACTCTGCTCAGGTTGGAGGGCAGTGGCACGCTCACAGCCACTGCAGCCTCAACCTGCTGGGCTCAGGTGATACTTCTGCCTCAGCCTTCCAATTAGCTGGAACTACAGGCATGCACCACCAAGCCCAGCTAATTTTTCTTGATTTATTGTAGAGATGAGGTCTTGCCATGTTCCCCAGGCTGGTCTCGAACCCGTGAGTTCAGGCAATCCTCTCCTCTTGGCCTCCCAAAGTGCTGGGATTGCAGGTGTGAGCCACTGCACCCGACCTAGATTGCTAAAAGTTTTAAACGTAGCAACACTGACATCCTTTCTGCTCCATAATCCCCCCCAAATGCTCCCACCTCAGGCTTTTGCATCCACTGTACCTTCTCTGGAAGGCGCTTCCTCAAGTTCCCAGCTGGCTCACTACCTCACCTATAGCAGATTTCTTCAGAAAGGCCTTTCCAGTGTACCTTATAGTAACTACCACCAGCCCACCCACCTGCCCTCCCTGGGCCCGGCTCTGAGGCCTACCAGGAACTCCTCCAAACTCCAAGTCCTTTGTTGGTGCAGGTGTCACTTCAAGGGTTTTCCTTGCAGGTCCTTTTGCAACAAATTTTTCTTCCTTAGAATCTATTTCTTGTAATTTGATCTCTTCTCTTTTTGGACGAAGGCTATACTGTGTAGATATATAACTACTTTCTTCTGACAAATGGAATTTTTCCTAATTGAAAAGTTAAAGAATATCCATAGTCAACAATTATAATAATGCTGCCACATTAACTAAGTCAGAAATTCAATATAGCTGCATACCAATAAGAATACATTTGTGAAACTATATCCAATCTTAAGGACAGAACTTTCAAACGGGTTATAAAATATTATATGTTTAATGTGCTTCTGGTGGGAAGCACTTTAACAAAACAAAAAAAAATTGCCAAGATGAAAGGGAACTCTTCCATACCTGCATGTTTTTATGAGGCATGTCATTCCTCTCGATGTGCTCAGGTTCCCCATTATATCTGTTGATGCTATTTCCAAATGGCTTCTAAATTAAAAAATGTAAACATTTTAATCAAAAGAACTTTAATTTACTAGAAAGGAGCATGACGGTAAAAAAATTTACTACTATGAAATCAAGCAATAAAACAAAGATTTTCACAGCCTTAATTCTGAAGAATCTCAGTCCCATTTTGTTAAAAATGAACAAGAATAAAACTGACTAGTATTTCCCAATCTTCAAATGACTGGAACTTATAATATAGATTTCTACTAAAATCTTTCATCTCTCATGTAATGTCATTAGACCAACTGTTATAATTCATTGACTCTATTAATATTTGCTATCAAAGGCAGATAAAGTAAAAATTAGTAAATTAGTTAAGGAAAAAAAGAGAAAAAGACATTCACTGCCCCAAAATATCCAATAATGGAAAATTAAGAAATAGTGGGCACTTACGCAATACACAGTAGGCCCAAGGCTCTATTAGTAAGAAACAAAGTCAGTCTGTGGTTTTTGTGTCACCAGGACTATAAGAATATTACACTGTAAAAATACAGCAGTCCCTAAATATTAAAATTGAAAGTATAACAGAAAGTATCATGCAGCATCTATTCCTTAACCTGAGTCATCTGGCTGGTCAAGAGAGTCACTAATAGTTAAAATACCTAGAACAGTACATTGAAAATCTTTGACAATCACATTGGCAAAAAGATATATAACCGTCAGAATGAGAAAAATGGGTCTTCATACACTACTGATACTAATACAAACTTTCTTGACACATTATGTATTAGAAGTCTCAAATCTGCAGCAGTTTCACCTGTAAGACTTTATCCTAAGAAGATAATCAAATGTTATATAAAAATACTCGTTTATAATGGTGCAAATTTAGAAGGAAAAATATTAAATGTCTATCAATGAGTGGGCTGACTTTAACTTTATGTCTACAAGGGGGGGGACCCAAAAAAATCCAGAACTTATTTATAAAAAATTGTGTATTTATTCTTACATGTTTAAACTTCAGTTACCTCCAAAGTACTCTCCAACTGATGCAATACACCTATTGAGATGCTTTTTCCACTACTCAAAACAGTTTTTGAACTTTTTTGAACTTGCCAGTTTGGACACCGTTCAGTGTTTCTTCTGCTTTTGTTTTACCTCTTCCACTCAGCAAAGTGTTTTCCTTTGAGAACTTTTTTTCAAAATCCAAGAAACAAAAAAAGTCCCTCAGGACGAAATCAGGTGAATAGAGAGGGTGGGGCACAGGAGTCTGGCTGATTTTGGTCAAAAATTGTTGAACACTCAGCACAGTACATGCAGGTGCATTGTTATGATGGAAGAACCAATTACCTGTTTGCCAAAATTTGGGATATTTCTTCCGAAAATTGTGATGCAACCATCTCAAAACTATCAGATAAAAGCTTTGGTTGGGCTGGACCCTGTGGCTCGCACCTATAATCCCAGCCCTTTGGAGAGAGAACTGCCTGAGCCCAGGGGTTCAAGACGAGCCTGGGCTACATGGTAAAACCTCATCTCTACAGTAAATCAAATAGTTAGCCAGGCATGGTGGCATGGGCCTGTAGTTCCAGCTACTTGGAAAACTGACACGGAAGTATCGTCTGACCCCAGCAGGTCCAAGCTGCAGTGGCCGTGAGCATGTCACTGCACTCCAGCCTGGGCAACAGAATGAGACTCTGACTCAAAAAACAAACAAAACTTTGGTTGATTGATCCAGAGGAACAAATTCCAAGTGTACTACAAGGATCCCACCCTCCAAAAGGTAATTAGAGTGTTTTGGGTGTCCCCCTTCATGTATAATTTATGGTATATCAACACTATATCACACAACAAAAACGACACAGAAGAATATGCCCTGAAAGGTTATCCCCAATATTTAAAAATTTTTAAAAGCCAATTCTAAAACAGTATTTTTATAACCCAGTTTTTAAAATTATTAAAAGTCCGTGAAGCCAGGCATAGTGACTCACACCCAGCACTCTGGGAAGTTGAGGCAGGAGGACTGCTTGAGTCCAGGAGTTTGAGGCTGAGCAATATAGGTCTCCACAAAAAAAACCTCAAAAAATAAATAAATAAATAAATAAATAAATAAATAAATAGGCCAGGCTTGGTGGCTCAGTCTGCAATCCTAGCACTTTGGGAGGCCAAGGCAAGTGGATTGCCTGAGTCCAAGGGTTCGAGATCAGCCTAGGCAACTTGGTGAGACCTCGTCTCTACAGTAAATTTAAAAATAGCTGGGCATGGTAGCGCATGCCTGTAGTTCTGGCTACTTGGAAGGCTGAGGTGGAAAGATTGCCAGAGCCCAGCAGGTTGAAGCTGGGGTGGCCGTGAGTGTGCCAGTGCACTCTAGCCTGCACTCTAGTGAGACTCCAACTCAAAAATAAATAAATAAATAGATAGATAGATAGCCGGGCATGGTGGCACATGCCTATAGTCCCAGCTACTTGGGAGGCTGAGGTGGAAGAATTGTCTGAGTCTTGAAGGTCCAGGCTACAGTGAGTCATGATCATGCCACTGCACTCCAGCCTGGGAAACAGTGAGACCCCCTTTAATTAAAAAAAAAAAAAAAAAAAAGTCTGTATACATTCTATCCAAAAAAAGAGGTAATATTAAGTGAACAGAATAAAAGAATAAACAATTAGAAAATGTTTTATTCTAGTTGCTTTTACTTAAAATAGTTTCTACTTAGTCTACTAGCTAAAATCCTTATTGTACAAGGTCTGCGGGCTTCACACATCCTGATATTTCTAACTGTAATTTTTAAAGTAATTCCATTAAAAAAATCATCTTTGAATAGAGAAAGTGATCAAGTATAATTATGCCAAGAGAGCAAAAATAGACTTCTGTAACAGTGATGTCTTATCATTTTTTTTTTGAGTTGGAGTCTCACTCTGTCGCCCAGACTGGAATGCAGTGGCCGCTCCCGGCCACCACAGCCTCGACCTGCTGGGCTCCAGCGATCTTTCTGCTTCAGCCTTCCAAGTAGCTGGAACTACTCGTACGCACTACCACACCCAGCTAATTTTTTTTAAATTTATTGTAGAGATGAGGTCTCGCCTGCCCAGGCGGGTCTCGAACCCGCAGGCTCAGGCAATCCACTCACCTTAGCCTCCCAAAGCGCGGGGTTACAGGCTGAGCCACCAAGCCTGGCTGGGTCTTATCATTTCATGCATGAACTTTCATACATTGTAAAAACATATTCAGTTCAACCTACAAACTATGTAGATTTAAAATTTTAACATTGCTTTGTTAAAAACTACAATCTTTAATAGTACTTCTGGTAACTTAAGAACATTACTTTTATTGATATTTAAAACTCTATTCCAAACATTTATCTCTTTACAAAACCTTCTAAAGTCATCACCTTAGATCTGATGTTTCACTGACATTGTAATATTATTAACAGCAAATAATTTGAGTGAATATGTACATAAAGGGAATGACAAAATACTGTATAAGGCAAAGTACCAGTATCAGTGGAGTCAATTTAACTTCCAACACTTCCCTCCTTGCTTCCTTAACATCAGCCTGCTGGGAAGCAGAAGCAGATCGGCGGGAGCCTTTAGGTGGCCGACCAGGGGATCGGGAGCGACCAGGGGAACGTGACCTTGACCGACCCCCACGGCGTCTGGAAGGAGAACTGGAAGTTGAGCCACTTTTCCTTTGCCTAAAGGAAGTTAAAGGCTAGAGAGGAAAAGAAGGCAAAGAGGTTTACCACAAATCATAACAGACACAGACAGACCCAAACTAGAAGGGATAACAAACGCAGGAACTATTACCACTCTCTAAAACCATCACAGGAAACCACAGGATCTGAGAATGGATCAGAAGAGCCAATGGAAAGTATTTTAATAGTGATCCATCTCTCAGAAGACGAATGCAGCCTTTCCATTCCTAATTTTCTTTGACAATATTTTCTTAAAATGAATGTATCTAAGTCAATTAGATGTACATATTTCCAATAACATATATAAGAAGGGTCACAATTAACATTGATTAGAACTGAGATGACAGAACAAAAGAAATTAGCATACAAACAATAAAAAAAATAATAACTGTTTTACCATGCCCTCGCCCACTGCAAATCACCCCTTCCATTGCTTCTACAGATCTAGACAAACTATGCTCCAGGTCAAATCCCCCACCACAATTTTTGTGTAGCCTTCAAGCTTTCAATGGCATTTATATTTCTTAAATGATTACAAACAAAATCAAAAGAATAATATTTCCTGATATGTACAAATTATCTGAAATTCAAATTCAGTGTCCATAAATAAAATTTTTTTGGAACATAGTCATGTTCATTTTCTTCCATATTGTCTAGAGCTGCTCCCATAAAGCCTAAAATATTTACTATCTGCCTCTGCTCCTTTACTAAAATAATTCCTAGTATAGAGCACTCAAAGTATGGTCCTAAACCATGGGCCCAAGAATTGTATGTTACTGATCTGTATAACAGGTACCAAAATTGAGAATAGGTGTATGAGAATTTTTATAGCATTTTGACAAAGTAATTTTATGCCTGTTGAATCTGATAATAAAAACATGAGACTTTTATTATGTATGTCTTTTTTTTCCCTAGTAATTCTTTTATAGGGCATTTTACATAAGTATTTGTATACCACGAATAGGATATTTTTAAACCCAAGCCTCACTAGATAGGTTGAGGAGCCCTGGGCAAGACTCTAATCAATGTCACTCTTCTGATTAAATCCTCAGTGTTCAGGATGACACTCAAACCCTTGGACATAGAACATAAAAAAGCCCTCCAGCCTGGGTCTTGTTTATCCCTCTCCTGGCCCAGCACTTGGCTATGTACCTCCCCCCAGCTCCCAATCTTTTGGCAGGCTGTGCTCTCTGTAGAAGCAGATTCAACACCAACAATGTCTTTCCTATTTGTCCCCAGCACTTGGCTCAGATGTCACCACCTCTGAAAACCTCCCTAGAAACCCAGGGTCCTTCCTCACCCTTGATGTACTCAACACCACCCACAGCAAACTCCAGTCACAGAATGCAGTAAACCCTGAGAACAAACACATATAAATGTCTCTCTTTCCCAGAAACTGGGGAAACAAGGCTCTTTGCCTCATTCATTCATTCCCAGAGCCAGAAACAGTATCTGATCCAAAGCAGGAGCTCAACCCTGGGCCTCTGAACAGAGCCAGAACTGACTGTCCTGAGCTTAGAAACTATACGTATAATTATTTCTCACTTACTCTAAACATACTCTGATAAACCAAAGGAAGTCTTACCTTGATATCACTCTCTTTCAATTCAAGTTCAGTTCCATCTTTGTATTTTACTGTGTAAAGCTGAGAGTTGCTGTCGTGGCTCAGAATTTCTACTTCATAATAAAGTGAACTCCCAGGCCACCGACCTCTTACCACTTCACCATCGGCAAATTTCCTACTTGGCATTTTCTAAAATTAGCCTGAACAGTTTCAAAAAAAAAAAATTGAATCAGTACTTACACACTTATATATTTGTCCTTCTTCATAGGTCAATCACAAAAATACAACTTTCCAGAATTAACTGGTCAAGATCTTAGGGCCAGAAATACCTCTGGAAGACAATATATAATCCCTTATTTTAAAGATGAGAAACTGAAACTTGAAATTAACTGTTTTGTCCAAGGGCAAAAAAAATAGATGGTGTGAAATGGCAGAGTTATGACAATACAGAAGTTACTCTTCCTGCTACATTATATCTCATTTGGAATCACTTTATAGAGGATGATTTAGCCACTGTGGTACCTACATAACTGACATTAAGGATTAAGTATAACAATGTATACAAGCACCACAAAGTTTGCACTATGCCAACGGTGACCTTGCTAATCAAAAAAATCAGGCATAATCTCACAAATGACACATTTTCTGACTTGTAAGTTTGCATATCAAAGGCTTCAAAATGCTTTTAATTGTATTTTTAACAAACTGTCTTTATTAAAAACAATAAGCTCTATAGAACAGACTGAAACCCAAAGATGTACAATGAGCATTACTATAACCCACCAATGGTAAGAAAAATAATGCTAAATCTATAATGAACAGCAAGTTTGTGGGTTATTTCATTAAGCTTTTAATTCTTACAAGTAAAACACAAATGCATACCAATTGACTCTGCCAACCATCTAGCGTGTAACTGGCCTTCTGCCAAGTTCACCTCTCTCAAGCCTACAGCTGATATCAACCCCAATTGTAACACTCTTTTCCACTGATCAAAAACATGGCCTGCAAAGACACACATGTACAACACCCCCAGAATCCACAAACAATCTGCAAGAATTGTCATCCTTTTTGAAACATCCATTGATAGCTGGGTGCTTCCACTTGCTAGGTGGCAATGCTGTTCCCTCCACTGACCAGCTGGTTAATATTTCCACACAACAAATGCAATGCCACCGAACTTCCCTCGCACCATATGAACTAGCTAGCCGGGGCCTAGTCCGAGAAGCAGCCCTTAGGACAGATGTGTTTTCTCCCTAAATCACCTTCATCTCACCAACTAAGCAATTCCTGATATATTGTCCAAGCATATAAATGTACATTCCTCACCAGCTCCTGTGAAGAGCTGATGATACAATAACAATACCACTTAAGAGAACTTTTGAAGACTCTGGGATTACAGAGAAAATTGTATTACCTATTCCTCCTGGGAAGAAAGTCTTTCCTAAGCACCATATTTCTTCACTGTTAATCACCTGAGAAAAAAACTTATCAGGCTTCACTTGTTTCCCTAAATTGGCAGATGAAAGAAAACACAAGTGCTTATCTGGTGATTAGAGGATGTCAGTCAATTAACACATTAGGTAAAAGGGCCTGCTTTCTTCCCAACACCTAGCTGAGATAGCATCATTGGGGTGATAAATGGTTTGGGCTTGGAGGAGGAGGAGGAGGAGCACACAAGCCTTGGAGATGAAGTCAGGCCTGGCTGAGGAGTCACCTGAGGGGCACTTAGGAAGCAGGGGGTCAGTGGACATCTCTGGACAAGGAGGAGGGGCACAAAACGGGAAGGTGACAAAGCAAGCTGTGCCTATTTCAACAGCTCCGCGCCTCCAAGTACTAAGAAAGAGGAAGGAAATGTGCCCTCCCTCTCTCTTCTCTTGGGGCCCCCCTGCTCCCTGGGGCCCCCAATAATCAGCCCACGGTTACTACTATTAGCTCTTCAACACTGATCAGCCAGGGTTTGAAGAAGGCAATTATGTCTTCCTAGATGAAGACGCTCAGCTTTCAAACAAGTCTTCATAAACTTCTGGAACACAAGCCCTTCAGGACTTATGAGCTAGCTGCATTTTTTTTTTTTTTTTTTTTTTTTTTACAGGCCCTTGAACAGAGTCTCTATATTCTTAAAACTTTATTTATTGGCATCTTTCCACTGCATTGTTACACGCCACATACATAGTATCTGAACACAATGCCAGAAAGACTTTTCTGTTACCAACCAAATAAAATATTCGGGGTTAAACAAATTAAGGCATCTGGTGAATAGCTGTTAGGTCTCTAAACTGAATTTTTTTTTTAAGAATTAAGATTTCCTTGAAAAGCAAACCAGCACTCTCCTCAGGAGATCACCATTTATATACAAATGTCCCAAAAGATGAAGCCAGGAACATGACGTGCACACCCACTTTGCACAATATCCACATGCAATAGTCAAACCACATCCTAATATCATCTCCAGCAGGAGTGGATACAAAAGCTCACAACCTCTGTGCCTGTCATTATGCACTCACCTAAAGGAGTCAAGATACACACTGACACATCCCTTCTAAGGAAAGGGATGTTTTAGCCAAGTGTGCTTGTAAAGAAAAATTCCATTTACTCAATACAATGTCCTCACGTCCCATAAACAGTAAAAACACAGGGACTCTCAGGCTTTTCTCTATTAAGCCAGAAGCCTGCTAACTTGAGCGTCAATCGGCACTGGAATTCTCACACATTTCAGCTTGTGTGTTACTATTGCTCAACAAGAAATTCTCGCAACAATTCTCTACTGATCCGTGTTCCAAGGGCCTTTAGTCATCTTTCCTTCACGTCTCCAAATCAATCTAAATGTGACAGAGAAAAAGTTTAACAGCATCAACACCTGAGCCCCGGTGCTTGCTAAGTAAAAACATACCCAGGAACCCTGCTGGGCCTTGCTCGGTGCGGCGCTCTACTAAGCAACAGAAACGCCATCTTCCTGGCTGTAAAGGCAGAAGCGCCTTTCTCCCTCCTGGGAACACCCGAAGGCAACAAACTCATCACTCCCTCTCTCCTACTCGCTCTTTTCTCTTTTCCCCAGGCAGCGCTCAGAACACAAACTGAAACTGGCCTTGCTGCCGAGCCTACATCAGCATCCCTCTGGCTCTTCTCTGCAGCCCCATCCTCCACGACACAGCAGACACTGCCGTGGGTCTCCACGGTCTCCACTTGTTTCCGCAAGGTCCCGGAGGCCCGGGGCCACCCCGGCTCCGCGCAGGTGCAGCGCCCCCCCCGCCGCCGCCGCAGGTGAGCACGCAGACTCGCTGCGAGCTGAACCCACCCACGCGCGCCCCCCTGTATCGACCGCGTCCTCCTCCGAACCCTCGGCCAGACCCGGTCATCACTCGGGTGCAGCGCCAGGAGCAAGGCCCTCCGCAATCAAGTGCTTTTACTAAGTGCCCCCCTGCGGCTGCTGGAAGTGCCAGCCGGGCTGTCATCGGGAGGAAACTTTTCAAGCCATTTTCAAAAGGCGAAAAACGCAGGGCCGTGCTGTCGCCGA